TTAAAGTCGAGTAAGTACACGTTCGGGGAGGACTAGACCAGAGCCCCGAAAGTAAGAAAGAATACGAGTTCGGGGAGGACTATACCGAAGCCCCGAAAGCAAAAGCCAAAAACACAAAATAAGAAGTAAAGGTAGATGAGACAAAAGAGGAAGGAATTCTTCTATCCCTCTGCGTCAACTTCTAACCCCACATCTCGTTCGATCAGTTGAAGAAGAGACTAACAGGTGTGTCTTCTTTCTTTGCAATGTTCTCTGGCAAGGTAGGGTTTGAGGTTCAATGCTTCAATCTCTTTCTTAATAGCAATGGCCTGAGCTTTTTTGTTCGACCAAAACCAGTGTTGAATTAGTTTTTGGATTTCAATGATAATCCCCACCTTTGTTGGTTTGTGATCCTCATAAATGCATCTATTGTAAGTCTTCCATAAGATCCATAGTATACATCCAGGAAGGATTAGCTTGAGTAGACCACGGAGAGATGTTTTTTTAAAAGTGACCCACCATTGTAGAAGGTAATCCCTTAGCTCTGTTTCTTGATTCCAAACTGGTCCTCCGATGTAGTCTGCAAAGGCTTTCCAGATGCTTTGTGCCATCTCACATGTAAGTAGCGTGTGTTTATCCGTGGCTTCAGCCTTGCCACATAATAAGCACTTATATATATATATATATATATATATACATACATATATATATATATACATACATATATATATATATATATGGGATTGACTCCGGTGAGATGACACCTTGTGGTAAGATGACATGTTTCAGTGAGATGACGCTGGAGCTCACCACTGATCACTGCAAAGCTCACCACTCTCCACTGCAAAGCTCACCATGATTTTCCAACACTTTACTTTTTTTTCAAACTTGATGGTTAAATGATTACAAAGCCCAACAACAAAGCTCACTCACTCTCATTGCAAAGCTCACCGAATATGTGCACAAAGCTCACCACACTTTAAAGTTTAAAATGATTTAAAAAAACAAAGGGTAGTGGTGCTGCAGACTACCGCCATGGACCGGTGGTTGACTGGTGGTGCAATTTTATTAGCTTTTTTTTTAAAAAAAAGTGGTGAGCTTTGCATTGTTTCTTGGTGAGCTTTCCATTGATAGTTGGTGAGCTTTGCATTGACAGTTGGTGAGCTTTGCACTTTGACCGCCCATGACCAATGGCCACCACCGATGACCCCCACTGTTGCCGTGGACCGGTGGTTGAGCGGTGGTTGACTGGTGGTTGAGTGGTGGTGCTATTTTTTTTTAACTTTTTTTTATTTAAAAAAAGTGGTGAGCTTTGCATTGATAGTTGGTGAGCTTTGCATTGGCAGTTGGTGAGCTTTGCATTGGCAGTTGGTGAGCTTTCCATTGGCAGTGTTGTGTGTTGTGTCATCTCATTGAAGCATGCCTTACAATGTGTACACACACACACACACACACATATATATATATATATATATATATATATATATATATACTCTCTCCGTCCACTGTCTTTGTCTACTTACCTTTTGGCACACCATCTAATGCACTTCTTTAATCCATTTTATCTTGTAATTTGTATATTAAAAAATTATAAAAATTATATATTAATAATCTATATGTTAAGACGAATCAAACAAGATCACACATGACTATTTTTAGTCTTACACATTGAGAGAATTTGATGAGTCAAAGTGCTTAGATGAACAGTTCCAAAAGTCAAAACTAGACAAAGACAATGGGACGGAGGTAGTATTTATTACATTATATATTACTCCGTATATTATGTACATTTTATTTTGGAGTGTCATTTTAGTTATGAAAATAATTATTTTGACAAAAACTATTTTAAAGTATATTTTATATACTTGTTTTAAAATGTTTTGGGTATTTTATTTTATATCATAAAAATTATTGATGTCAAATAAAATACACTTTGAACATTTGGGAGCAGAAGAATTAAATTCTTCCCCCCTTTCCACTTTCGTAATATACACATGGGATGGATGGGTGGCTTTGTTCCCATCATGCCTTAAAGTACTTTTGTACTTTTGTTTTTATATGTATGTTACATACAATTATTATTCTGATGATGATGATGTACATTAAATACACTCCCTCACTTTTCCAAAAAGTATGCACGAAAATAATAAGGAGCAAGAGAGAGGAAATTTTGGTTTTCAAAATTATTATTTTGGGTGTAGAAAATTGATATAATATTTTCTTTAAAATATTATTGATATATTTTCTACTAGAATAAATTCCATAATTGGTCCTTTATAACATGGGGGTTTCCATATTTAGTCCTTTATTATCAAATATTACTCTCGTAGTCCTTTTTTAAGGGTACCTTTCCATAAATGGTCCTTTTTTTGATCTTCTGCCGTGTTGGTGTTAATTTAAAGGCTAAAAGTATAATTTGGCATCAACATTATGTCTAGTGATGTGTTCTGATATTGGTTAAGCGGATAACACAAAAATAATGACTATGATTGTGGGCTAGGATTCTGACAAAAGATCACATTTGTAGACTATCGTTGTCGTAAAAAGCGTATGTAGTTCACAAACGACGCAAACGGAACAGCCTTTGGAATTGTGTATGACAAAAAAGATATATTATCATTGTGAAATTACACTTTTAGCCCTCAAATTAACACCAACATGACAGAAGATCAAAAAAAGGACTATTTGTGGAAAGGTACCCATAAAAGAAGGACCACTGGGATAATATTTGATAATAGAGGACTAAATAGGGAAACTCCCTTGTTATATAGGACCAATTATAGAATTTACTCTTTCTACTATTTAATATACAAGATTAATATTATCCCTCTTAAATCTTTATATTAAATATACTATTATAATCTTTACTAGCATAAAGATTATAGTAGACTCCGAAGATTGTTCGTGTGTCAAAGTTGGAGGCCGGACGCTTGAACGGCTATGTTTGCTCCTTCAACATCTTTTGCTCGACTTCTCGTTCATACCACTTTACCAGAGAAGGTATAAGTTTCTATCTCTAGCTATAGTTTTAGTACGTGTTCTTGGGATAGTAATCACTACTGGGAGATTAAATTTTTTGTATTTCCGCTGCCCTCCCAATCGTGGTTACCTTTCAGGGGTAAGAGGGAGATAGGTGATGAGGCAGTGAGGTTCAAGATTTGTTTTGGGCAAAAGATTCCGGCTTTGGATCGGGTTTGCATTGGGTGGAGATTGGGAGGTGAGGAGGGGGGTTGGGCCGTGGGTGGTTGCTGGGTCGTGGTGTGAGTTGGTGTGGCAGTGG